TCTACCCACATCTGGAGTGTGTGTGTGTCAGTGTATCTCCCCACAACCTGGAGTATGTGTGTGTGTGTCAGCGTTTCTACCCACAACCTGGAGTGTGTGTGTGTGTCAGTGTATCTCCCCACAACCTGGAATGTATATGTGTGTGTCAGCATCTCTACCTACAACCTGGAGTGTGTGTGTCAGCATATCTACCCACAATCTGGAGTATGTGTGTGTATTGGCATATCTACCCCTAATTTGGAGTGTGTGTTAATGTGTGTGTGGGTGTATCTACCCACAATCTGGGATGTGTTTGTGTATAACTACCCACAATTCAGAGTATGTATAAACATATATGTGTGTGGGTGTAGTTACCCACAATCTGGAGTGTGTTGTGTGCTGGTGTGTGTAACTACCCACAATCTGGAGTGCGTTTGTGTGTGTGTGTCACTACTCACATTCCAGAGTATGTGTGTGTTTGTGCTGTATGTGTGAAGCTACCCATAATCTGGTGTGCTAATGTGTGTGTGACTGTACCTACTCACAGTCTAGAGTATGTGTGAACATGTGTGTATGTGTGTGAGTGTAGCTGCCCATAATCTGGTTTATGTGTGAACATATAGGTATGTGTGTATGTGTTGGTAAGTGCTGTCTAATTGGTTCCAACCCATAGCAACCCTCTATAGGGTTTCCAAGGAGCAGCTGGTGAGCTTGACCACTGACCTTGTGGTTCAAACCGACTATGGAATACAGCGCATTAACCCACAGTGCCATACTAGGACTCCCGTGTGTGTCTAACTACCTACAATCCAAAGTATGTGTGAACGTGTGTGTGTGTGTGTGTGTGTGTAAGTGTAGCTACCCACAATCTGGAGTGCGTTTGTGTGTAACTACTTACAATCTGGTGTGGTGCTGTGGGTTAATGCGCCAGACTGCAAAGTTGTTTGAACTGCAAGATCTGTGGTTCAAGGTCACCAGCTGCTCCTCAGAAACCCTATACAGGGTCACTATGGGTCAGAACTGATACAACGGCATGTAACAACAACAACCTACAATCTAGAGAAACAGGCCCCCAAAGAGAAACTCTTTGTCCACAGCTGAGGTAAAGAAGTTATATTTTATGTCAAGAACATGCCCTTGGTGGGTAAATGAGTGAGGGTCAGTATTTAACTCTTTCCTGCAGAACCTGTGGGATATTAAGCGGTGTAGCCTCCCAATGCCTCATTTTCTTCTGGAATCCCCAGGACCTTCCTCCCAGTGTGGGAAGACGCTGATGAAAGCACTCTTCGGCAGAGATGGGCTGGCGCCATCCTCCTCTGACCCCAGGCCTGAACTGCAGTGTCTGGCCCCTGGGACCTCACCACTCTCCCTTTCTCTCCCCAGAGATTCCTGCCCACTCATCAATGACCCCCCAAGGAAGACAATGAATGAGGTGAAAGAATCTCTTCGAAACATCGAACAGACATACAAAATCTTCCAGCAACAACAGTTCACGTTCATTGCTGCTCTGGAGCACTGCCGAGAAAATGCCCACGACAAGATCCGGCCCATCACCAGCATAGGACAGGTGGGTGTCTCCAGGGACCCGCTGACCCTGAGAGTCCGAGCCCAGAGAATGTAGTGCTTACGAGTGGTTACCTCAAGGTCAACAGTTTAAAACTACCAGCCATTCCGCAGGAGAAACATGAAGCTTTCTGCTCCTGTGAAAATTTACAGCCTTGGAAACCCTATCCAGGGTGACTGTGAGTTGGAACCAACTCCACGGCACACTGCCACCACAACCAGAGAGGATGTGCTAGTTTTCTAGAGCTGCTGTAACAAAAGACCCACTAAGTAGGTGTCTTTAAACAACAGAAACCTATTACTTCATAGTTCTGGAGGTTGGGCCCTAGTCTCTCCTAAAGCTCTAGGCTGGGATCCTGTCTTATCTCTTCTGGCTTCTGATAGCCCCAGGTGTTCCTTGGCTTGCAGCTACTGCATAACTTCTTAGTTATTTGGCCTTCCCCCCTCCCCCCGCTCCCCCCAACCACCCCCCTCTCTGTCTCCCTTCTATTTTATAGGAACACCACTGAGATGGGATTAGGACCCACTCTTCTCCAGCATGACCTCATGTCAATTTAACATCGTCAAAGACCTTATTTCAAAACAAAGTCACCTTCATGGGTACCAGGGGTTAAGTCTTCAGCATACATTTTTGGGGCCACAAGTCAATCCATGACAGAGGGGAGCAAGTTTATGCCTGAATCAGACTGATGGAATGATTCATTTATTCATTTCCTCATCAAATATTTGAGTGACTGGCATACCAACCAAACCCACTGGCATCAAATTGATTCGGACTCATCCAATCTATACAGGATTTCTCTGGTAGCGTAGTGGTTATGAATTGGGCTACGAACTGCAAGGTCAGCACTTCAAAACTACCACCTCTTCCATGGGAGACAAAACTACCACCTCTTCCATGGGAGAAAGATGAGGCTTTCTGCTCCTGTAAAGATTTACAGCTTCAGAAACCCTGGGCAGGGTCACTATGAGTCGGAACTGACTCCACGGCACATAACCAACCAACAACCAATTCTTTGCAGAGGCAGCAACCTCATCTTTCTCCTTTAGAGCAGCTGGTGGGCTTGAACTGCCAACTTTGTTCTTAGCAACCAAGTATCTAACCCACAATGCCACCTTTGTGAATAACACAGCAGTTAAAAATATGGGCACCAGAAGAGTCAGATTGCCTGGGTTTAAATCCTGGCTCTAGCACATGACCATCTGTGACCATGGCCCATTTCCACATGTGTAAAGAGAGTGGCAGCCCACACCTCATCAGGTGGTTAGGATTCGCTGACATCCACAGGAGACACTCAGCCCAGGGCTGGCTCTTAGTAAGCACTCAGTGTTCGGTAGGCTCTGTCAGATCTGGGCCTAAGTACTGGGAATGTATTGGTGACCAAGACAGACAGAATCCCTGCCATCAGATTTCACTGCAGTTCAAGAAACTACTCATGCCAAGTACCATATTTTATTTAACTCAATCTTAGCCGGTAGGGTACTATCCAAGCTTGCTCCATGGCACTTAGGTCTCAAGATTGAACAAGCCTTGCAGGAAGTTACTGGTGACAGGCTTGAGCCACGGTGCTGTTAGGTACACAAGTGTTAGCCATTAGTTGACACTCACACTGAAAAGATGCCACCTGCAGGAGAAGAGAGCTCAGAACCACTTTTGGTCGTGGAGAGCAAGCTGGGGATTCAGTAAACAGGCAAGCTTGCTGGCAGCATACTTAAAATATTAAACCTATAGTTGAAAGGATAGTACAACATATAAACTTTGCCTATTATTGTTAAGTGCCGTCAAGTCAGTTCTGACTCATAACAACCCTGTGTATAGGGTTTTCAAGGAGCGGCTGGTGAGCTTGAACCGCCGAATTTGGGGTTCAAGCTGACCTTGCAGTCCAGTGCTTATTCTACAGCACCATACCAGGATTTCATTGCCTAGGTACCCCAATTTCTAACATCTAGCCTCATCTGTACATTCTTTCTCCCCTCATTCACACACACACACACACTCCTCCCCACCCTTGAACAATTTGAAAATAAATTTCTACACCCTTTCTAGAATCCCCAGGAACTGACTTCCAAGGGTACCCAGCAGTAGTAGGGAAGGAGCACTCAAGATCCCCACATCCCTCAAAATTTCTATTCAGGCTGTCTGACACCCCTACCCCCCCCCCCAGCACCCTCCCTCACAGAAGGGAATGATCTTCTTGCCTTAGAATCAACAAAGGTTTTGGTTGACTTCCTCTGAAGTGTTGACTCTCAACCTTCAGCTTCCCTGAGAGGTACATGGGTCAGGTAACCAAGGATTACCTACACACACTCCAGGTAGCCAGGCATCTGCTGCTCTGCTGTGGTTACACCACAGTGCAAGGCCCTCCTCCTGACCCACACGTCCCCATGTACTTGCCATTGGTGTATGTGTGTGAGCACACGTGATGGATGTCAGACTCCTGGCCCCTTATGAAGCCACTTTGTGCCAGGCAGCACTTGGCAAGGAACTACTTCAGACCATCAGAGGAAGTCATTGCTTAGTGACAAAAAAGAAACCAGCAGGAAAGCCCTGAGTTAGACATGGGGCTTTGTAGGTGATGGAGGAGGTAAGTAATGCTTTCCCTTCCATCAGATCACGGAGAGTAGGAGAAACTTGTGATTGTGACATGGTTAATCTTGCCTGGACCAGATTCAGTTCCTCCCCAGTGCCAAGTTAGGCCTTGTGCCCTTGTCCCACCTTAGATTCAGTCATTGCTGATCCCAGGAACTCTGGACAGACAGTCCAGCCTGTGAAGGAGCCAGCCACATTCCAAAGATGAGTTCAAAGAATGGACGTATTGTTATTTTTAGTTACCTCCTTTTATGACTTAATATTTCTCTTCCAAAGCTTCTCAAACATATTCACAAGTATTTTATTTTTGATATTTAAGATCCTTCTAGAGTTGATTTTTGTATATGGTGTTAAGTCGAGGTCAGTTTTTTCCCCATGTGATAATCTTTCTTTCCAGTTCTATCTACTGTGTTCCCTCTCTCTACCTTGGAAGCCCAGTACAATGAAACCCCCAAAGGAGAATAGTTCCTTCTCTTTACTCCTAAATCTAGGTGGTCTTACCCAATAGTTCTCAAAGTAGGTCAACTGGGACTGTGTTTGAAAAGTTGGGAACCAGCTCCCCATGGAGATTGGTGAGGAGTCTGGGGTATGTGTCACTGCTGGAATTCAGCAGCAGTTTGAAGTTACCAGCTGTTCCTAAGGAGAAAGATGAGGCTTTCTGCTCCCATAAAGAGTTACAACCTCAGAAACCCTATGCAGGGTCGCTATGAGTTGAAACCAACTCCACAGCACACAAACACCACCACTTAACTGTGGTGCCCTGGGCAGATGATTTCACCTGAGCTTCAGGTTGTCTTTAATGTGAACATAAAAAAACAAAGGCAAGAAGTGGCTGGCTTACAAGCTTTCAAGAGGGAACCTAGATCCAGAGGGTGTGGAGGAAGGTAGACTGTCCACTGAGTAGTATCCAATCTGTCTAGGCGGGGCTGATGAAAGGAAATGCAGATAGGTCTCTTGTGATACAATAGTGAATAATTGTTATCAGGACTGACTGTGAGGGTTGGAAATGTAAAGGTAGACGTTTTGTAGCAAGGAGGGGTGTGATTGACTTTGCAGTCTAGGAGCGGAGGTCCCTGGGACCATCAAGGGAGAAGAGCGGAGTGCAGGACCCTACCCAGAGAAGCAGTGACATCAGAGATGGAGGCAGAGATGATGATGTGGAGAGAGGGAATGGCTGGGGACTCTAGACCAGAGAGGGAGAGGGGCTGCGTGCTGATGACCAAGGGGAAGGCTTTTGGGGTATACCCTTTGGTTGGTTGATGATGCATGGAGGGGATTGTAGCCATGGCAATGAAATTATATATGATAGGATGAATATAAAGCTAATGTTCTCCCATATAAACTATCACATAATTCACAATATAACATTTTTTTTTTTAATGAGCATAAAAAAAGGTGCCCCCCAACACAATGTTTAAGCGAAGCTGATGGGAGCTCAGTCCTGTAAAGCGTTTCCCACGGGGCCTGGCATGTTCACTGATGGGAGCTGTCTATAGCAGTCTGTACATTGCAGTGCTTGAATGTGACTGGCATCTCCCCGGGAGCAGACTGGGTCAGGCCATGAATTTGAAGAGTGGGAGGGGAGAGTGTGGGTGCTCCTGGATAAATGGGGACTCTGTTGGCACTGTCCCAGCTCACATCATGTGGCCTTTGCAGGTGCAGAGCTACATGGAACACTACTGCAACAACACCACAGACAGGCGGATTCTGCTCATGTTCCTGGAAATATGTACAGAGCTGAGCAAGCTCTGTCAGCGCTTTGAAGCCCTGCACTCTGGCACCCCAGTCACCAACAGCCTTCTAGAAAAATGCAAAACCCTTGTTAGCCAAAGCAGCGACTTAAGCAGTCTCAGAGCCAAGTAAGTCCCTCTGGTCCTGTTCTTAAGGCTTCATTGTGTGTACATGGTGTCAGTGGTGGAAGGGTAATGCGGACGACAGAAGAGGGTGCTCCTAATTTCAATTTTTAGAAAAGTGCCCTTACATCAGTTTAGCCCTGGTGACACTGGGGGTTAAGTGTTGAGCTACTAACTGCAAGGTCAGCAGTTAAAACCCACCAGCAGCTCTGCAGGAGAAAGCCGAGGCTGTCTGTTCCCATAAGGATTTACAGTCTCGAAAACCCTATACAGCTTTGCCATGAGCTGGAACTGACTCGGTGACAATGGGATTATTTTGGATGGGTCCATTGGTTTGAGTCTTTCATTATCCCCTAGGAAACTGCCATTCTAATTTTTCCCAAGCACCTGTGTGCCAGGTATCCTACAAAATGCTAGGAATCGTTGGGAATAGGTAGAACAGGTTAAGGCTTCTTGGGGTATCCTAAAGAAATCATCAGTTAGGTTCTGTCCTCACTGTGTCTAACGAATGACCGACCACATGCAAAATACATCCCCAGCACTTTTAAAGCCCATCCCACGTCCCACGAGCACCACCACTGTAGGTTCTTTAATTCCAATCCTGTGAAACCCACAATGCAATGTGCCCATTCTCACACTGTCAGGGTAAGAAGTTTCACAGGAACTAAACAGCATAGCTAGAAGGGATTGCAGGTTTCAATAGCCCCTGATCCAGGTTTCTAAATATTCCACATCTTCACTCCTGCCTTTCACACCAGAACTCCCTGGGCTCTTGGCCCCTGAGCCTACTACACTAGAATCTCAGCAACAGAGCGTCTCAGCATGGTACTCAGTTTTCAAACCTTCCAAGATGATTCTGATGTGCAGTCAGGACCAGAAGCCACTGCCGGGGGTCTGTGAATTACCTGACACTTTGTGGCAAGTCCCTGGATTCACAGGCTCACCTGGTCCTCTTGTGCTGTTGCAGATATCCACATGACGTGGTGAACCACCTCAGCTGTGACGAGGCCAGGAACCACTACGGAGGTGTGGTCAGTCTTATCCCCATTGTCTTAGACTTAATGAAAGAATGGATCGCCCACTCAGAGAAGCTGCCCCGAAAAGTGCTGCAGCAAGTGAGTGAGCCCCAGACAAGCAAGGAATGCACCGTGGAAGCCACCAGTCCTCACCAAGCCACAGGCACCCAGACCCTGTTAAAAACAAACACATGTAGGGAACTTCCAAAAACCAACTTCAAATCTAGTGCAAAAGACAAAGGATGTTTAAAACCTCCCTGGAGACCACCTGGTGGGAAACTGTAAATCAAAGTGGCCTATTGGGTATGGTTAGGGGAACTTTGTTCTTCAATTTGGTTTCCACTGGGTTGATACCTTTTCATCAGCACTAGTCCTAGCCACATAGTGACCCCTATGTTGTTGTTAAGTGCTGTCGAGTTGAACCCGACCCATAGTGACCCTGTATAGGGTTTCCAAGGAGCAGCTGGTGAGCTTGAACCGCTGACCTTGCAGTTCAAATGACTTTGCAGTCTGACGCATTAGCCCACAGTGCCATACCAGGACTCCAGTAACCCCTATAGAGATTAGCAAATATATTATTGAGACTCTCTCTCTTGCCTTAACTTGCTTCTAACTTTTCCTCATCTCTTAAGTGTCAGGTTCTATGCTGACGGAAGAGCAACCCCACTTACACAAGTTACCAGGACAGTTGATAGGGGTGTCCCAGAGGAAGGCCAGCATGGACCTTCTCCCAGGACTGCCCTGGTGGGCTCCAGCTGTTCAGCTCAAGTGGTCAGGCAGGGGAAGTGTGCACAGCTTCTGAATCTCCTCCCAGACCACCACTTTGGCAGAACGTGTGCTCCCACCTCACAGGATTGTTTCAAAGATTGGTCATGTTGAAACTTCTGAAGTGTGTTTTGGGTCTCTGGACCAATGCCACAAAGGGAACAAACCCACCTTTCCCTCTCCTTTAGTTGGGAAAAGGAAGCATAGGAGAGAAATGGGAAGAATTCTGAGTTTGTGGCTCTTGTATGAGGATTACCTGGCTATCATAATATAATCAAGACCCAGACATTGTAAAAATGTGTCCCTAGCTACAGAGCTTGCCCAGAGTACTGTCTGACTGTTGGTTTTTCCCTTCACAGGGGACGACTTAGCTTCTGTAGTCTTGCTTCCTCGGGGGGAGACAATCAAGAATAAAAATGGTTTCTAACACATCTCTGCCTAGCTTGATTTCCTGGGATTTAGCCCTTAAAGTCTATATTTATTCTAAGACATCAGGCTATAGTCACACAAGCAAAATCATCAACAAAGGCATATTTATCCATCTTCAAAAAGAGTTTTTTAACAAGAGGCTATGCCAATGACCCACAGGTGGTCAGCAATTAAACATTTCTCCTAAGATGGCAAGTAATTCTTGTAAGAGGCAAAATCCGAATTTTCTAGACAAAAACATCCAAGTCTTTAATCTCAGTGGTCTGCTGTGTTAAGTGCCACTGAGTCAGTTCCAATTTGTAGTGACCCTGCTGAGGGTTTCTGAGGCTCTAAATCTTTGTAGGAGCAGAAAGCCTCATCTTTCTACCATGGAGCAGCTGGTGGATTCGAACTGCCAACCTTGTGGTTTACAGTCCAGTGCTTATCCTACAAAGCCACTGAATGGCACAGCAATACTTAGAACTAGGGTGGATCTAAAACCTCCCTGCTTCTTTCCAAATGAAAAGCACATATAAGGTGGTATCTAGTAGCTGCACTTTTTCCCTTGCCACACACAAAATTCAGCTGGCAAGGCTAAGGGTTAATGAGATCTTGGCAACATGTCAGTGGGGTTTCACCAAAATGGCAATATTAAAAGCAATGTGACAATCTTCTAGGAATTCAAGCGTGCACAGAAAGTGAGCCTGGTGACCATGCAGATTCAGACCAGCTCCTGGTTTTGAGGTTGTCTCTGGTAGAGATGAGTCAAGTCACTTCTTCCCCCACCAACCATGCCAGTACTGGAGGAAGGGTGTGAATTTGAGACAGTAAAGGTAGGAATTGTTCACCAGATGATTTGCCAGAGCAAAAACAGCCTTGGAGAGACTAGAGCCAGAATATGCCACCCACCACCCAAGTTCATCAATCCAGACCTTTGGGTTTTACATCTTTGGACTAAGTTCCCCCTACTTTTGCCTGTAAACCCCCAAAAAGGCCTAAGTCATTCCATGCCAACACAGCAGAGTAGTGCAAAACAATAAATTTTTTATTTGTTCACAGTTAAACACAAGCAACTGCCGTGACATTTTAAAACATTCTAAGAAGGACAGCAAACCCTTTTGATTCCAATTCTCATTCACTTCGATTGTACCATTTTCCCTTGCAGTTCATATTTATGGCATCTGATGTGGATTGTTTGACATGCTTTTAAGATCAAAGTGGGAAATTTTAAACTTTTTGACAAGAGATGACTTTCTTCAATTTAACTAAAATAAAAGCAGTCAGTTTTTAAAAAATTTGTTTTCTTTTCACTGATGGGATCCCTTTAAACTGCAAGTTAACTACATACGGTCGATCCATGATTGAGTTATAAAACTAGATTAAGTCTTAGCAAAATCTGTTCCTCCGTAATATATTTGTGGTCCATAAGTTTTCTGAAAAGTGATCACTGATTCTTCCTAGTGCAAAATGCCTGGCTGCCTCTTTGATAAGCCAAAGTATTTGCTACATAGAGCAGCACCGTACCCTCCTGTCCAAACACTGTATCAGATGGGGAAAGGGAGGGAGGGGTTGGTTTGTGGGTTGTCAGAACTTTCAGGGGTCTCCTCTAAAATGATCTAGTCCAATGGTTAAACCAGCCTAGTTATCCCACAGAGAATGGATGAGTTTGTGGCATAGCACATTCTGCGCTGATCTACTGGGAAGGAGAAGAAAGCTCCTCTGCCTTCAGTAACTCGTTTCAAGGCTAAAAGCAGTTGTGGGTATAAATGTTCAGTTATCCCAGCCAGGCTTCCCTTGTGGCTACAGCCACTCTTCTTCCAGGTTAGCATATACAGACTGCAGGCCGGTGTGGGAAAGACAGAAACACCGCTCTCCCTGGACAAATCAGTGAGTCAGTAGGCAGGGAAATGAGCCACATTGGGATACTGGTCACAGACAGCAGCAGCCTAGGGGCCAACCCCCCACCTAAACCTGTTCTTTTATCTATAGACGTAAGCTTAATTAATTAAGTGCAATCAGTTACTTTACAGTGGCAGGGATGGGGATGGGGGAGCCAGTATGTGTCACAGAACTCTGGATGTAAACAGGTACACAAATATCTTCAGAGTGCATACATTTCTCAATACTCACTGCAGGTCAGTTTTAAAGCATGTAACCTGAAGAGTGAAAAACGCAGCCAAATAAGGTGTGCTGACTTGTATCATTCCACAAAGGGCAGCTTCCTTCCCCGGGGGAGACATACTCTCCCGGGTGGGCCCATAGGACTTTGGCCTCTCTGAGAGTGTCCTCAGAAGGTGGGAGGCACTCAGCCATTGCAGTTCCTGGACTAAACCTTCACTCTAACCTTCTTAAACCTAGTCACACAGTCAGCCTGAATCACCGTAGTGCTTTCAGTGAGAACACTTATAGATCTTCCTGGAGTACTTTTATTTGTTCTTCGGTTCTTTCTGGCTTCAAGTGGTATGTTCTAGTATTTGGTGGAAATTCACATTGGCTAGTCATAGCACATTTCAGTCCTATTCTCTAAACAGAAACACATACCCAATTTCAACTACGAGTCTGTACCTCTGTGGCATACCTCACAGAGATCCTGTCACCCCCATGACCATTTTATTCATCCTTATGAACAATTGTTAGAGGTTTTTGCCTTTCTTGACAAAAAACTGCATGTGGTGTTGCAAATGGAGTGGCCCGTTTTGTCTCCTGTCCTCACTAAGCAGTGATTTGCTGGCCTCTGGCCAGAGCAGCATGGTGGACTGATTTTTTCTAATTGTCAGTAGTTTCCAGACCTTTTTCTGGATTCTACCAGCTTATGTTTGAAGAAAAGTTTGGACTGTTTCCCCCTAAACACATGACATATACTCTGACTCACAAAGAAGCTTATTACTCCTCTTTCCATTCATACAGCCTAATACAAGGCGGCTTTTAAGAGTTCATGGAAAAATTACATTATCTTTTCATTCCATCTTTCCATGAACCTGCTTAAGCCCCTTCCTAAGACCCTTCTGCCGCTCATTCCCAAAGGTGAGGCAGTTGTATCTCCTAAAAACTGTTGTCAACATACCTACAAAGGTCACTGTACCCACCTGCTTTAATAAGACTGACTTCTAATATTTATTATAAAATCTTCTCATCCAAAAAATACCTTATCTCTTACCTTTGGTTTTAAGTCAGGTATCTCCTCCAATCCCATTATATAACATTTTCTAGTCTCTGGCAGAACCTGTCAGAAGTTTTTTTATAATCCATAAGCGTTATGATCTGAGAGAGATCCCTGTGCTCATTACTGGTCGTGGTATCAGAACCCAGCTTCTCTATGGAGACCATGCTATCATGTTCCTATTCCTCCTCACTCCCCACCCTCAGCCCCAATCCCAAAAAATATTGTAGTGCTCCATTTTCAATTTCATGTTGTGCAAGCAGCAGACTACAGTCTTCTCAGGGTCTGTGTTGACCCTGCTTAGTGTTAGGTGGAAATTAGAATAGGTTATTCATGTTGGCCAAACAGCTTTAATGTGGTTATGATTGCTCATGGTGATTTTTGGGTGGAGACTATGCAACATCGACACATATGAACATTATGCTACTTAATCAGATTTAAGACAAGTTCTGCACTAACTGTTCTCCTACCTTTGCCCTGCCTGTTCCCAGGCCCGAATTCTCTCTCGGAAGTTACTCTAATACCACCTTTCCATCCTTAAAGAGATTCACTAGAGCATGATCAGGTAATCCACTGATTTGGGGAAGTTTATCACTTTTAAGACAAAACAAAACCTTACTATTTGACTCTGGAGTCCTTCACCACATAAAGGACCTATTTTTTAGGTTGACTAACTTCAACATGACTCCAGATTTATAAAATCCCCAACCTTAGGTGAAGAAAGCCCATAGCATCTTAGAACTCACAGGAGCTCTGAACGCTTAGCAGACAGACAGACGCCTAGGCTGAGAGGCCGTCTGAACAGAGGCCTTTCTCATGGGCTTCCCCATTCCACCGTACAGTCTGCCCACTACACAAAAATGTTTTGGTTGGGTTTTTTCCTCTAACATTAGCCTCCTTTCCCTTTGCCAGTTAAGAGGAACGGTTTGACTTTGATCCTGCAGTATCTTTGTTCTGTGGCACATGTCTCTTAGGCTTGGGAAGGGACACAGCATTTAAAACCAGTTCCAATAGTTACAACATTTTTTCTTTCTGAATTTGTTCTTCTTTTTTTTCCTAAGACTTAACTAGAAAAGTACACATATTGGATTTTAAGCTTTCCTTTGGACAAAGTTGAATTAAATGTGTATCATCATTACTACTTCACGTTGGGCCATCTAGTGGCAGTTCCTGGCCTTGTGCTGGGCTGAGAGAAGCCAGGCACATTCCTTCCCTTAGGCTGGGAACCGTATCTACCCCAAGAAGGTCTGCCAGTGTAGGAATGGTGCTAAGGGTCCCTAATTATCTATCTAGCTCCTCTGGTTAGAGATGCTAGGATATTTACTGCCACCCTTTAAAAACACACACACATACACACACACACTTTTACCCTCACATGCTGGAAGTTTCCATATACAAAAAAGATTTCGTACCATAACAACTCATCTTTGACCTCTTCTTGGCTGACCCCTTCTATTCTTTTTACTTAAAGAATAGAAAAAGGAAAACCTAGTTCACCACCTCTTTTCTACTAAGTATCTCCTTTCCTCAGCTGGAATACCAGGCAACAATTCTTAGGCTTCTAGCATTTATTTCAGGAGCATTTGTTGGATTTGGGTTCTCTGCCATCGGGATTCTGACTAGTGCTCCCTCTCCTGAGCATGTTGGGGCACCCCAGTGAGCACAAAGTAGTCAACCTTTGTCAGCATTCTCCCAGACTTTCCTTTAAAATGCCCTGCCATTACTACCACATGGGAGTTGAACAGCAGTGAGCTCCCTGGATAGTAGGCCCTGAAAATTAGAATTGGTATGAAAAAGCTGTTACTTTTTTGGTGACTTAGAACCTACAATTGTGAGGCCACAATAAGAGCCTGAGAAACAATGGTCAAATGAAACTATGAGGAGACTCTTTGGAACTTCTGAATGTTTCTGCAACGAAGCTGAAATCAACAAAAGGTTAGCATGAGCACAAAGGGAGGGAGACCACCGGGTTTAGTCAAAAGGCGCAGCTAGCACAAGCCTTTCTTGGAGATACGGTTTCTTCTTACACAAGTGCTTCTCAAGTAACTTTTCCATTACCATTCCTTCCCTCCTACAGAGAACACATTTCACCCATCTACACTGCCAGCCTGTGGTCAGAAGAGTACCAGCTTTCAAGCAACACCAAATAAATAAGAGGTAGTGGGGGGAGGGGGCTGAGAGCTTTCCCAAATGTTTAGTAAATGTGGTCTCCACAGTGCCAGCTCGAGACTTGTGAAACAGCAGACATCTGTTTACACAGAGCTTTCGAGTAATGTTATCAGAACCGCCAAAAGAATGTAAGGGTGAATAAACCATTGTTTTTCTAGATCTGCTGCTTTAGATGCTGAACTTCAGAACCAAAAAGCACTGAAAATGTCTCATAAGGACACCATCAGCTCTGCAGACTACCTCTGGGATAGGAACAAAACCAGACTTACCTGCAATGCCACCAACTACCGGGTCTAACCGAGAGACAACCAAGTTATCTGAGCTTCAGGAAAGCTGAAAGTGGTGTGTTAGACTCAAAGATTACATTTGGCCTCATATTGCACAGGTTCAAAGGATGAAACCATTTGGGGGAAAGGACAAAATTAAAGCTGCTGAGGAACGCGAACTGGCCCTTGGATTAGTGCACTGCTAGGTATAAGACAGGTCTGGGGGCAGGCCAAGGGGAAGGTTAAGAGGCATTTCAATGTCAGATCCAAAAAGCGTTCTGCACTCAGTCAACTGTCAAAAGGACCCCATCCTATTTCCATTGCATGAGCTAGCCACTCAGACCCTGGAAATAGGGAAACTTTGAAACGTGCACTCACACCTCCTGTTCTATGCCAACATAGGAAAGTTAACACTGATTGACAATCATCCTTAGCTGTGTTCATGATGAGTCTCATTATAGTCCATGATATGAAGCTGTCCAACACTGTCTGGGTTTGGGGGAGATGGGTGCGGGCCATCTAGGTTCAGGGGAGTCTTGGCTTCCACACATGAGTCTTTGCCCAGTTCTGTCTTCAGGGTCTCAGAAAGGCTACTGATGGTCATGCCGTCCTCATCACACTGGCTCTCGCTCTTATTACGAAACAACTCTCGAGCCTTCATGCCCAGGAAGCTTTTTGAACTGGGAAGTGAGCCAACGGTCATAGGGATGCTGGTAGAGGGCTCTCCCATGGTAGTTTCCCACCGAAGGCTGAATGGGCCTGCCCTCGGGTTCGGGGGTTTCTCTGGGGTAGAAATCTCACTGCTGCTGCTGCTTCCTCCGCCTCCTCTACTTCCACTACTGCCCCGGGTGCTGCCAGGTCTGGGGATCTTGGTCTCACCATTGTGGCCATAAATCTCTTCATTGTGCCCTAGTATTGAATCGGAGCAGCCGTCATTACAACAGTCAAGCCTATAGGAAAATCAGGGAGGAAACAATGTACTGGTTATTAGAGCATTCTTGTCTGGAAAGTATGCAGTTACACTGACCCTCGCTCACACTGACACTGAACTCTACTAGCCTACTATATATTAGAAAGTAGAGGAGTCAAGCATACCATCCCCTCTAGAGAAACAGAAGTCACTAGTACTAGGGAAACAGAATGGCAGTCTTAAGCATCAACAATTCTTGGGACCATATAAGTAAGTCAGGGTCAAGAAAAAAGAACAAGGAAAACTCATTGGGCAATTTGAGAAAACGTAGGTTAGGACTAGTTTTTTTCTAGTTCTTTCTGATAAGCAGCTTTCATCATTTCTACTTCCTAAAAGGTGTGGCTCTGTGAAATGATGGAGGGTGCTGAGGGCTATGACCCTCTTACCACATCATGACTGCTTCTAACACCCATGTGATGCAGTCACTGTGCTGTCAGCGGTGGCTTAGTCACAAAACCATCGACATCAACTCTGCGTTCCTACCTCTCTTCTGCTGCTTCAGCTGCTTCTGTTTTTTCTTCTTCAAGTTTCTTCAGAAAGCCATCTTTCTCCAATCTGCCATATAAATCTAAGATCTCCAATTCAAACATTTGGGTAATCCTTTTCTGAGCCTCATACCGGCTCTCTGCAGCCTTCAGTTGTTCTCTGCAAGATAAAGACCACCCCCAAATATGGGAAGTGCCCCTTACTGAAGAATACATATCACTGCTAAAGCCCTTCCTGATGTATAAGTTACCTTGCCTGGAGTTTGACATCCTCTAAGTATTTTTTCTGCTCCAAAAATAGGTGATCTTTCTTGGCCAGGTGAGATTCCAGTTCCAAAATCCGTTTCTGAGAGGTATCAAGTCTTTGATTCTGCTGGAGGACGTGGTTTCTGTTTTTTTCTAGTTCTTTCCGATAAGCAGCTTTCATCATTTCTACTTCCTAAAATGGGGTTTAGAGTTAGTGCTTTTAGAAAATTATCGATGCCATAACTGTTTTGAAAATCAAGTATAATAAGCATTGAGAAGACACTTTGGCATACTGTAAATGTAAATATAAACGAATAAATTTCCTGGAAAATCAGCTGGCAATGTAAGTATTAACCTAGTATCTCTTGAAATCTAGCCCTAAGGAAGTAATCGAAAACACAAATCTATATTTTGGTACAAAAATATCATTAAGGTAGCTCGGAACCTCTGCTGGGCAGGCGGGGAAGGGGAGGGGCAGCCATTGACCTAGTGCGGCACTATGGGCTAATTTGATGCCAAGGTCAGTTTGAACCGCAAGTTCAGCAGTTCAAGTTCACCACCAGCTGCTCCTCAGAAACCCGAGACAGGGTCACTATGAGTCAGAACCAACTCGAAGGCACTTAACAACAACAAGCCATTGATCTTATCTGATTGCTTATCCAGAGTTTTGAATTCCACCATGGCCATCACACAATTCCAGGTATTTAAAGTTTGTACCTGCCTAGTGACAGTATTCTCATTTCTAAAGAGATTAATATGCAGATCTGGCAGAGGACGGAAATTAAGTGGTGACCAAATAACTTTGCCAACTACAGTTGATTATTCATCAGTTCCTAAGCAGACAGATGTTGAAGAGTGGACTCCTTAGGATGAAGATGCACCCACAAGTGTAAAGATTGAAGGAGGGAATGGGAATGTGTCAACATAACAGAATGCTTTGGAACAATTGGAACCAGACTATTTTAAGGACATGACACCAAACATAAGGAAAACTCAGAAAATCACTGTTAAGAAGAGAGACCCATTCAATGTTGGCAGCCCAGATTGTAGCACTGGTTTCCTTAGTAGATTAGCAGCTACACAAGATATGCCCTTTATTCATCAATCTCCTGAATTAGGTGACTTAGATACCTGGCAGGAAAATACCAGTGCTTGGGAAGAAGAAGAAGATGCGATCTGGCAAGCAGAAGAAGTCTTGAGGCAGCAGAAAATAGCAGACAGAGAAGAGAGCAGCAGAACGACAAAGGAAAACAATGGAAAAGGAAGCACAGCGGCTAATGAAGAAAGAACAAAACAAAACTGGGGTGAAACTTTCAAAACGAAGAGTTTCTGTTCTTTAAAAATTAATGCCAGTAGGAGATACCTAAGTGCCACAACCCAGGCAAGATGTGTGTGGATGAAAGCATAGTTTCGGCATACAAACATGCTGCCTGACTTTAGTGCATTCGTCAGGTCACCCGGCTCACTCAATTCACCCAAAGTACTTGGAACTCTTGTGGCCAACAAATATTTGAAGAAACACAATCATTAGTCATTAAAGAGATGCAAATCAAAACAATGATATATTATCTTGCTCCACCATTAGTTGCAAAGTTCCAAAAAGAGACAATAACAAATGGTGAAGACTGGGATTCTCCTACATTGCTGGTGGGACTGTAAAATGGTGCAACCATTGTGAAAAACAGTACGGAACTTTCTCAAAAAGCTGGAAATAGAAATACCATATGACCCAGCAATCCCTCTACTTGACACATGTCCTCAAGAAATAAGAACTGTGACACGAGTAGGTACCTGCACACCCATGTTCACAACAGCCCTAGTCACAACAACATAAAGATGGAGATCGCCCAAATGTCCATCAACAAAAGAATGGTTAACCAAACTTTGATACATACATGTAATGAAATATTATACAATGTTGAAGAATCCCAAAGAATTTGCCAACACTTCACAACATGGATGAACCTGGTGGGCATTATGCTAAGTGAAATTAGTTATTCACAAAAGGATAAATATTGCATGAGACCACTGCTGTAAAAAAGACCCATGGGTGATGGAGAAGTTAATAACCACTATGAATACTCTAGTTCCAACTCATTCACTAACATTATCCAAGCCTATTTATAAGGGGCTTTACCACCTTTGGTCATCTCTGATGCTGGCCTGATTGCCAGGACTGAGCCACCATCTGCTGAAATTCAATCCAACATTAAAAGAAGACATGACATGTAAACCAGAACCCACCCACAATCCTGAGAGTAAGTTAACAAGTAATTCCCTATCCTTTTTTGTTGCTGTTGTTGCTACTCTCTTTTTTTAAAGTGGGCAGGGGGAAGTGAAAAGAAACACCTTTAGCACCTACTCGGTAAGCATTATTATTAGGTGCTTTCTCATATGTGTTTTCATTGAGGTATGTTTTCACTTCATTTCAATTTCAAAGCAACCCAACAAGGGGAAACAAACATAACAATGGATGGTGCTGCTTGTATTCCTAGACCAAGGAGACTTGAAAATGGACTTGATCATCCCTCCTCCCCGTCTTTTAGGCAAAGGCAACATGAGATTCATATAGCCATTCTGTATGAATGACATACTTCCTGGATGGTAAGGGATGGGCTTCCTCCAGCCCCAGCATACCTTGGTTGTGTCTGCATGCTTGTTCTGCAGTTGCTCCAAGTACAGCTCGTTGACCTCTCCAAGAACTAACAGCTGCCTGTTCAAGAACTCCATCTGCTGTTGGACTGACTCACTATTTGAGAGCTAAACAAAACATACACAAGCAAAGTGAAAATTCTAACAACACAAAACTAACAAAAGGACATTAAACAAGGAACCTGCTATTTTAAGGTAAGGGGAGAATGAACTGTCCTATGATTTCAAATTTCCTGACATAATGGCTGCAGGCAGAGAGAGGAAGGCACCCAAGAGCAACAACAAAGGATAGAAACGCATTTCAAAATTGTGTTATGCAAATGAGCTCCTCTGGCCACTCAGGGGAAGCTTAGACAAGATGGGCATGTATGGAACTATCACAATAAACTCTATGATCTACTGGGATAAAGGCCCATGAAAAACTCCTCAGTCTTAACTTTTTTAGAGTGTAGTGAACTCCAAAAGGGGAAGAATCACAACTCAAGCACCTGTACACACTTTCGATATTTATGTAAACAAGGTGTTAAGAAAGAGTTCCAAAGGATATACAAAAACCACAATTTAGTCATATAATTTGTTGTGGGGGCTGCCTTGAGCCTTGCAAGATGTTCCGCAACATACCTAGCCTTGCCCACTTGATGCCAATAGCCCCCCACTCCCTTGCTTGCTACAAAACCCAAAAAATGTATCTCCTTTTTGTTAGTGCCATTTAGTTGGTTTCAACTCATAGTAACCCTAAACAGGATTTCTGAGGGCATAAATCTTTGTGGGAACAGACAGACTCATCTTTCTCCCACAAAGTGGCTAATGGGCTTGAACCACCATTGCCAAACATCCCCTTGGAAGACAGAATTGCCCCCAACAGAGACACACAAGTCAATTATCTATCTCGCCTGAAGCAAGTGTTAGTAAGTGGTGTGAGGAGAGAGGAAGGTCTGCCTGATCTCTTACCTTCTGAGAAACCTGACTGAGCAGCAGCTCGGTGTGACACACCTTGTTGTTGGCTTTCTTTAATTCTATCCGCAGTTCTGCAATCATATTCCTGCAGTCCTCCAGCTTTGTCTACCCAAAGAGACGAAGGCATTGTTATGCCAGGTCACAAGTCTATCTGGCCATCAGTCCATACAGAATGAGTAATACCTACTTCCTCAATTGCTCTACTGCCTTTGGGTCACTATGATTTGACTTCTTCATTTTAAAGTAAGTTATGGCTGTTCATGAGTTCCTTATGTTCAAGGGGGGAAAAAAGACCTTAGACTCACAGTTTCCAAACAGTGCACCAAAGCGTCCTGTGGTTACACAACAAACTCACAGATATGCTACAAGAAATTTTAAATTTTTAAGGGAAATACAGAGACAGCTGTCAGACATCATGTGAACTAACAAGCAGGAGACAGTTTGCAGTTTCAAAATTCACACACTTGCTCACTGCCACCCAGTCCATTCTAACTCACAGTGACCGTGTAGGACACAGAAGGTTTCCAAGGATATTTACATGAGAGAGTCTCATCTGCAGACTGTTGGTGGGCTGGAAATGCCAACTGTTCGGTTAGCAGCACAATGCTTAATCTACTGTGCCATATTAGATTGTGCTATATTTGTGCAGACGACATCATATCTTTGCAAAGCTGTGTTTTCAGCGATGGTTGTAATAAAATGCAATCACCACATAAAAATCAATGAAACAAGAAATAAAAGTATCAGCATCCATTCTGATTCCAAGTTCTCAGAAGATGTGAAGTGCCCAACATACATACCTTTCATGAGCAACTGATGTTATTTTAAAATGAAATTGAAAATGTTTCTAATTTAATTTCTATTAAAATTTAATTTAAAAAAAAGTTTATGTGTGTTATTTTTAACAGTTACTAGGTTGTAAAGACACCAGTACTCATTAAACAGTGTGGGTCTACTTGGTACAGGGAACTACTAGATACTTCTAGATAAGGAACATCAGGAAATATTACTGAGTTACTCAGGGTTCAAGAAAAGTTTGGGAACCTTTACCCTAAGTATAATTTATCTGACATTGATGTAGCTGCCATGATATTAGAAAGAAAATCATTTCATTGGAGTTAAGATGATAAGGTGACATCATTTAAGGAAACCATTTTGTTCTTTTCCCATTTGCTTTCCCCACCCTCTCTTGGTTGATTTTGCCTACATTGAGTTTATACCTGTAATTCCTGGCTCTGGTTGTAGAATTCTTCTCGGTCATGTTGCAGCTGTCTGATCTGGCTATGGAGCTGAGTTACCACAGTGTCATGCTGCTCCTGAAGCTGATTGTATCTGGCTTGTTCTTTTTGCAGACTAACCTTCCATATCTGGATATCCTTCTCTTGTAACTTCAATTGATCTTTCTGGCAGAGACCAAAGGTATAATCATTTTAGTTGCCTGTCAACATGGGCAATGATGCTGAAGTTTACTATGTGCTGCAAACATTTCATAGGAATGATCGTAAGTGAACTTGAAACTTACAACTACAGATCTATACTCTGACAGCTCACTACAATTTTACTTGGTTTTAAGATCATGTTTTCCAAATTTCACATTAGGAAACCAACCTCAAATTACTTAAAGAATTTCCCCCAGGGATCAACTTGTTCCTATTATTTTCAAAAGTGCTAGAGACCGAAGGAACAAACAAGATGGCGGATCGGGTGGATGTATAGCAGAGAGCTCCGCCAACAACAACACAGAATACCCGACCCAAGCAGGTTCAGGGGATGATCCCAGAACTCTGAACCGCATATATAGGAATACTTAGAAGGTTGGAAGGCTCACAGCTGGAGGAATTTGTGGCAGAAGCAAGAAATCTATTGCTTTCTAGTTCGGGACGCTCGGCTGCTCCAGGAGCCTCCATTTTGGGTGAGACCATGTAGGGGAAGGATCGGAGCGGCCACAGACGCCCGGCAGAACCAATGAGATAAAGGTGTGGACATTCTTTTCTTTTGGTATCTGTTCACTGGTCCCTTGCTGTCTGCGCACCTCCATTCGGGAGACTATAGGGGTGCCTGAGCTAGTGGGCGCCCCAGCCCCACCCTTGGAGGGTTCTACTATGCATGCGCACAGATCTCCTCGAAATTTAAAGAGATAATTTCCAATTAAAACCAAACGGCCACAGCCGGCCCTGAACGGTTTCAACTAGAATAAAGGACTGGACGGAAATTGTGGAGCAGGAGAAGCAGACAAAAGAGGAAATAGGCCGAAAATTAAATCCTAAGTTATGTCAAAACAGGAA